TTAGTTGAGTTGGGTTGAGTTGAATATGTTGAAGTGGGGTGAAGTGAAGTGAAATGATGAGTTGAGTTGAGTTGAATAAGTTGAAGTGGGGTGAAGTGAAGTGAAATGATGAGTTGAATTGAGATAAGCTAAAATGAGATAATGCATTTAGTTGAGTTGAGTTGAGTTGGATAAGTTGAAGTGAAGTGAAATGATGAGTTGAGTTAAGGTAAAGTGAGATAATGCATTTAGTTGAGTTGGGTTGAGTTGAATATGTTGAAGTGGGGTGAAGTGAAGTGAAATGATGAGTTGAGTTGAATAAGTTGAAGTGGGGTGAAGTGAAGTGAAATGATGAGTTGAGTTGAGATAAGCTAAAGTGAGATAATGCATTTAGTTGAGTTGAGTTGAGTCGAGTATGGTTGAATGAGTTGTAGTGAGGTGAGATGAAGTGAGTGTAACTGGCGACCGGTTTTTAAGAGGCACGACAACGCGCAGTTCTATGCCACTGCAGACAGACTCGTCACTTGACAGTTGCGGTGGCGCCTATTTTAGTTGCGTCGAGAACGAATCGCTCCTCCATCTCGTGTCTCGCCCACCAACCAGTACAGAACAAACGCGACTGTGCATCTTGCCATCTCAAATTGGCCTTCTCTACCTCAGATCAGCATTTCATCATCATCATCATATACAGAATTTCCAACATCATGATGATATTTGAACAGCCGTACTACTCATGAGTAGTGAGGAAACATCATCATCATCATCATCACCTACAGAAGTTTCAACATCATGATGATATTTGAACAGCCGTACTACTCATGAGTAGTGAGGAAAAGACTTAAAGTGGCGAACTGGGACCTGTTGCTCCTCCAATTCGGCTCGTCTGGCGCCAAGCTCGACTCCGGCGACCGGTGCTCGAGGCCCGAGGCTTGAGTGCGCCTTATGTCGGTTGTCCAGACCAATGAGATCCACCCCCCTCGGGTTTCGGATAGTGCTCTGTCTACCGCTGCCACCCCCCGCCCCCCTCATTCCTCATCCTTCACACATCAGCTTCTCTTTCTGTCGCTCCGGCCGCGAATTTTCCGCTTCATGGGCCGATCAAGTGAAGCTTGGCACCACTTGAATTGCAGTCTTCATCATCTCTTCACGAAGAGATTTGCACACACACACATTCACATTCACACACACACACACACACAGAGGATGGCATACATGCCTCCCGGAGGGGCAAATCGAGTGTGCGCTGGTCTCCAGCCTCCCTGCAAGCATGTGCTCGTCGGGCGAATGGGCATGTGGTTGCGACTCGAAGTGGACGGCTTAAGCGTTGATGATGGCGAGGATGAGGATGATGCCGGCAACGCGGGGGGTGGGGTGAGGTCGGGTGAGGTGGGGTCGGGGTGTGATGAGTGTGAGGCTAA